GCTGCTGCTGCAGTTCCTGCTGCTGTTGCTGCTGCTGCTGCAGTTCCTGCTGCTGTTGCTGCTGCTGCTGCTGGGGGTAGTTCAACAAGTTTATTTGCTGCTGCATGCAGTCTTAAATGCTTCATATCTTTATTTAATTTACGAGTGAAGACTTCCAACATAAACAGCAAACGACGGCCAATAGAACGAGATCGATACGCCTCCTGCGCGCAAACCCTAAACCCTAAACCCTAAAGCCTAAACCCTAAACCCTAAACACTAAACCCTAAAGCCTTGGGTGTAGTAAGCGTTGAAGCTAAACCCTAAATTCTAAATCTAAAAGCTTTGTCTTGCCTTTGAAAAATGAACAGTAATAAACCCTAAACCCTAAACCCTCAGCGTTATTACTCCCCATCGACCCGAGACCCTTGCTCCTAAACCCTAAACCCTAAACCCTAAACCCTACTTTGATTTGAAGTTCATACAGATACACCACAGGCTGTCCCTCTTCTACCTCAAGCCGAAAGTGAAGAAATGCGACGAGAGGATCCTTCGCCGCCTCCACAACTGCGCACAAACCCTAAACCCTAAACCCTAAAACCCTAAACCCTAAAACCCTAAACCCTAAACCGTAAACCCTAGAACACCAAACCCTAGACCCCTACGCCCTAATCCCTAGACTCCAAAAGCAAAACCCTAAACCCTAAATCCTAAACCCAAGACCCCAAACCCTAAACCCTAAACCCTAAACCCTAAACCCTAAACCCTAAACCCTTACGTGTTTGTTTGGAGGAGTTGAATACCATCCAGAAGTGCGCGTGTTTATTATTTAACTCGTTTTTTTTTGTATCATCATCCCAGCCTTTATTTAGAAATTTACTTTTATTGTACATGTCTTGCATATTCTCCTTCGTTAATATAAATAACTCATTTAATAAACAAACCCCAAACCCTAAACCCTCATCTTTAACCCCAATCAACTCTTCATAACTACGCTCAAATACCACAAACTCACTACCAACTGGGGGGCCCCCTATACCCCTAATGGGGGCCCCCTCTACGGGGCCCCCCCCCTTGGGGGCCCCTTCTATTGGGGCCCCCCCTTTGGGGGCCCCCTCTATGGAGGCCCCCTCTATGGGGGCCCCTCCCTTGGGGGCCCCTTCTATGGGGGCCCCCCCTTTGGGGGCCCCTTCTATGGGGGCCCCCCCTGTGGGGGCCCCCCCTTTAGGGGCCCCATCTATGGGGGCCCCACCTTTGGGGGCCCCCTCTGTGGGGCCCCCCTCTGTGGGGGCCCCGTCTTTTGGTTTGTTTTGTTTGAGTGTAAATGAAGCGAAGGCTGTAGGTAGGAGAGGGAGTCTTTTGAGGGTTTGTTGTATCGTTTGAACTGCTGCTAGATTTTCAGCTGTTTTAATTAGTTTTTTAATTTTTTTAGGGTTTAGTTTTAATGATATATCGGAAGGAGGGGCAATAGCCCCCGAAGCCCCCCGAGGACGCGCCGGCATCCGCGCTAGGGTTTAGGGTTTAGGGTTTAGTGTTTAGGGTTTAGGGTTTAGGGTTTAGGGTTTAGGGGGTGAAATAAGAGATAATAAAAAAAAGAAAAATCTGATAATATAGTATGCACACAAACCCCAAACCCTAAACCCTATACCCTAAACCCTAAACCCCCCAAACAAACACAGCCCCAACCTTGTCTGCATTCAAAACAGTAAACTTTAAGGGTTTAGGGTTTAGGGTTTAGGGTTTAGAGGTTAGTCGATAAGAACGTACTTTCATCAAACAGGTAGTAAACCTTAAACCCTAGTAAACTCTAAACCCTAGTAAACCCTAAACCCTAGTAAACCCCTAAACCCTAGTAAACCCTAAACCCTAAACCCTATTCCAGTACCTAAACACTAAGCTTAAACCTCCTTATCTCTTAACATCTGATATGCTTAAAACCCTAATCTTCACTAAACCCTAAACCCTAATAAATCGTGAACAGTAATAAACCCTAAACCCTAATAAGTTGACAACCCTAGTAAACCCTAAACCCCAATAAGTTGTTAACCCTAAACCCTAAACCCTAATAACTCTCAAACCGTAATGAATCATTAGGCCGAGCAGTAAACCCTTACGCCAAACCCTAGTCAAACTCTAACCCTAAACCCTAAACCCTAAACCCTAACAACAAGCCCTATCCCTCCTTTTATTATTAACTCTACACCCTAAAAGCTCTCTAGAAATTAGTAAACCCTCAACCCTAATACAACTCTCTAAACCCTAATACAACTCTCTAAACCCTAATAATACACTCTAAACCCCCACTTTAGTGTTGGTCTCTAAACCCTAATACAACTCCCTAAACCCTAAACCCTAAACCCTAAACCCTAAGCCCTAATTGAATGATCTAGACCTTAATTTAATAATCCAACCCCCCATTTAACCCTCTAAACCCTAAACCCTAATTAAATTATCTAAACCCTACGGTAATAATCTAAACCCTTATACAACTCTCTAAACCCTAATTCAACTCTCTAAACCCTAATTCAACTCTCTAAACCCTAAACCCTAATTTGATGTTTGTCTTTGATTATCCTTCATGATGTATTTTATTTATTTGTTTTGTTTGTTTTGTTTATTTGCTCATTTTTTGTTTAATTTGTTTTGTTTGTTTGTTTGTTTTTGTTTAATTTGTTTTGTTTGTTTGTTTTATTTATTTTATTTATTTGTTTTGTTTGTTTGTTTGTTTTGTTTAATTTGTTTTAATTTGTTTTGTTAGTCTTGACTATTTATTTGTTTTGTTTGTTTGTTTTGTTTAATTCATTTTGTTAGTTTTGTTTAATTTGTTTATTTGTTTTGTTTGTTTTGTTTGTTTGTTTATTTTGTTTGTTTTGTTTGTTCATTTGCTTGCTTTGTTTGTTTGATTGTCTGTATAATATTTGTATAATTACTACATTTGAACGGGTACCCTGATTTACTGCTGCTGCTGCTGCTGTTGCTGCTGCTGCTGCTGCTACTGCCGCTACTCCTGGTGCTGCTGTTGTTGCTTCTTCTGGTGCTGCCGCTGCTGCCCTTGCTCTTGCTGCTGCTGTTGCTGCTTCTGCTGCTTCTGCTCCTGCTGTTGCTGCAGATAGTGCTGCACCTGCTAGTGCTGCTGCTGCTGCTGCTGCTACCGTAGCTTGCCCTTCTGCTGCTAGTGCTACTGCTGCTGCTGCTGCTGCTGCTGCTAGTGCTGCTGCTGCTGCTGCTAGTGCTGCTGCTGCTGCTGCTGCTGCAACTAGTGCTGCTGTTGCAACTAGTGCTGCTGCTGCTGCTGCTGATGCCTGCGCATGCATAAATGTGAATAACTCGTTTTGAATAGAAGATTGAGGGTTTAGACACTGAGGGTTTTGAAGTGAAGGGCTTGGCTTTCCAAACCCTAAACCCTAAACCCTAAACCCTTGAATGCTGTCTCTTCTGTAGCAGCGCCCGTTGGGGTTAAGGGTTTAGGGTTTAGGGTTTAGGGTTTGAATTTTGAACTCGGCAAGCGACATTTGGGCTAAAAACATAGTCAGTGTTTACTGCGTTTGGCTTAGGGTTTAGGGTTTAGGGTTTAGGGATTAGGGTTTTAGGGTTTAGGGTTTAAGGGTTAGGGTTTAGGGCTTAGTGTCCTACAATTCAGGGTTTAGGGTTTATGAATGAGGGTTTTAATGCTGTTTTTCGCATCTCTACTCTATAGAGAGGCCTAAACCCTAAACCCTAAACCCTAAACCCTAAATCCGCGAGAAGACCGATATCTCCGTTTAGGGTTTAGGGTTTAGGGCTTGGGGTTTTAGGGTTTATTGAAATATATTTGTTCAGAAATAAATACAATCTAAATAAAAAAGGAATATAAAACTCTAAACCCTAAACCCTAAACCCTAAACCCCTTGCAGGCATCTAAAGTAGAGGGGAGACGAACTCGAAACCCGAAGCCCTCGAAGCCCTAAACCCTAAACCCTAAACCCTAAACCCTAAACCCTAAACCCTTGGAAAGTAGCAGGACATCCTCATTTTAGAGAAGTTAAGAGAGAGTTTAGAGTTTGGGGTTTTGGAAAAGCTTCATTTTATTTTTTTTAGGGTTTAGGGTTTAGTATCCGTAAACCCTAAACCCTAAACCCTAAACCCTAAATCGGTAGGTTTGCTGTATTTCAGAGGAATTCACATCACAGGCCTGCAGATATAGAACATTAAACATCATAAAACCCTAAACCCTAAACCCCAAACCCTAAACCCTAATCCCACACTACCCAAAACCCTAGCCTGAGTTCCTATGGCTTTGCTGGATCGCCTTCTAGGGTTTAGGGTTTAGGGTTTAGGGTTTAGAGTGTCTGGGTCCCTTCTTGAGGCGAAAAGCAGCAGCTATAATAGTAGTGGGTACAGCCACAACAGCAGCAGCAGCAGCAACAGCAACAGCAGCAGCAGTAACAACAACCACTGCAGCAGCTGCTGCTGAGACACCAACAGCAGAAGCAGCAGCAGCAGCAGCAGCATAAACAACAGCAGCCGCAAGGACAACAGCAGCAGCAACCTCCACAGCAACAACAGCAGCAGCAACAACAACAACATCAACAGCAGCAGCATTAGCACCAGCAGCAGCAGCAGCAGCAGCAGCAGCAACAATGGGGGGCATCAAGAGGCGCCGGGGTATAAATTCTGTTTTTTCTGTAATAAAGATGCATTCAAATTCTAATGGGCCGGCAGCAGCATCAGCAGCAGCAGCAGCAACAGCAGCAACAGCAGAAGGGGCAGCAGCAGCAGCAGCAGAAGCACCAGCAGCAGCAGGAAAAGCAGCAGCAGCGGGGAAAGCAGCAGCAGCAGCAGGAAGAACTCCAGGAGCAGCAAAAGGAGCAGCAGCAGCAGCAGGAAAAACAGCAGCAGCAGCAAAATCACCAGCAGCAGGAAAAGCAGCAGTAGCAGTACCAGCAGCAGCAACAGCAGGAAGGACAGCAGCAGCACCAAAACCAGCAGCAGCAGCAGCAGCAAGAACAGCAGCAGCAGCAAAAACAGCAGCAGCACCATCA